CCTTTCTTTGAACGACCCTCTCTCCTGGAACGACCCGCGCTCCTGAACCGACCCACCATGCATGCTGCTGCTCGCACTGCCCATCCCCTGCTGCTGCCACGGCTGCTCCTCCTGCTCCTGCTGCTGCTGCTGCCACGGCTGCTGCTGCTGCCACGGCGGCTGCTGCTGCTGGAGGTGCTGTTGCGGCGACAACAGCCCCTCATACCCTCCTCTAAACGACCTGCTACTACTCGGTCTCTCCCCATGCCGACTCAACGGCCGCTCATCGTCCCTCGACCCTCTCCTGCTCAACGGTCTCCCATTCTCATCATACCCCCCCTGCCGGCTCTTGGGCCTCTCCAGCTCAATCCCCTGTCCCATCGCCCACCGCTCCCTCCCTGAGTATCTGTCCATTTCCCCCCCGTACGACTTGCTCCCTGCCCTGTGCGCGCCCCCTCTCCCTCCCCCCCGAACCCCCATTCCTCCTCCAGGACTTGAGGCCCAAGGGGGGTTGGGACGATTGGAGAAGTCTACAGGAGAGTAAGCAGTGGGAGAGAGACCAGGAGCAGAACCAGCAGCATAGTTATCACCAGCACCAGCACCAGGGAAGGGTCTGTTGTCGTGTTCGGTGAAAGACAGTCGACTGCTGGACGCCCGGTCGTCAAAGGATCGGGACGAGTCATGCCGAATCATGCGCCGTCCCTGCTGCTGCTGCCCCTGCCCCTGCTGCTGTGGCTGGAACTTTTGGCTGGGGGAAGGCGGGTGCATGGGCATGTGCGGGCTGCGGGGGCTAGGGGGAAACATGCTGCCGCCGCCTCCTCTTCCTGACCCTCCCGATCCTCCTGATCCTCCCCTTCCTCCTGCAATAGGACTGCCTAGAACTCCCATACCGTACTGATCCTGCTGCTGCTGCTGCTGCTGCTGCTGCTGCTGCTGCTGCCCCTGATTGCCATACGGGGACATGGGACTCATAGGCCCTAGCTCCCCCTGCCCCTCATCATAATACCCCTGCCCCTGCCCCTGCCCCTGTCCATACCCCTGCCCTTGCCCCTGCCCATACGCCTGGTGCTGCTCCCCAGATGCAAACCCCATGGCATTCCCTGATCCCATGGGAGACGCGGGGGACAGAGGCCCCATGGGACTCATAGGCCCGAACCCAGGACCCATGCCCGCATGCCCTCCCCTCATCGTCCCCTGTCCGGACATGAATCCCCCCATGGGACTGAGAGGGCCTTGATTCTCCCCTCCTTCCCTCCCCTCTCCTTCCCCCATCCCCCCCTGGTCTGTTATATACTCACCATTCTCGTCCACGTACCCTAGCTGCTGCTCCTGCTGATGCTGCTGCTGACTCTGACCCTGTACTAAGTTACCATTTTCGTCCACGTACCCCTCTCCCCCTTCCATATACTCCCCTTCATCCATGGGAACGAAATTCCCATGTTCGTCAACATACCCCTGCTCACCTTCCACGAAATTCCCATTTTCATCCACATGCCCTTGTCCTCCTTCCACGAAGTTTCCATTCTCATCCACGTACCCTTGTCCTCCTTCCACGAAGTTTCCGTTCCCATCCACGTACCCTTGTCCTCCTTCCACGAAGTTTCCATTTTCATCCACGTAACCTTGTCCTCCTTCAACGAAGTTTCCATTCTCGTCCACATACCCTTGTCCTCCTTCCACGAAGTTTCCATTCTCATCCATATACCCTTGTCCTCCTTCCACGAAGTTTCCATTCTCATCCACATACCCTTGTCCTCCTTCCACGAAGTTTCCATTCTCATCCACATACCCTTGTCCTCCTTCCACGAAGTTTCCACTCTCATCCACATACCCTTGTCCTCCTTCCACGAAGTTTCCATTCTCTTCCACATACCCTTCCCCTCCTTCCACAAAATTCCCGTTTTCATCCACATACCCCTGCTGCCCCTGCTCCACATAATTCCCATCTTCATCCACATACCCTCCCCCCTCCTCTTCCCCATAACCCCCCTCCTCTCCTCCATACCCCTCCTCCTCTCCCCCCTCATAATCCGGCCGTTCGATGAAGCTCCCCTGACCATCGCCAGACACATCTGGCCGTTCAATAAAGCTGCCCAGCGCATCTCCACCGTACGATTCCTGCTGCTCCACATCCGGCCGTTCAATGAAGCTACCTTGGCCATCCTCATACTGCTCCTGCCCGTCACTATAACCCTGTTCCTGGCGATACCCCTCTCCTTCCTCCCCTTCATCCTCCTGCTCCTCCATCTGCTCCTCCCCCTCCTCATAGACCACCTCTAAAGGTGTGCCTCTTCTCATCCCTCCCATCCCGTCACTCATGAATCCTCCCCCGTCATCAAACCCTAATTCTCCTGCCCCATCATCTTGTAAATACTGCCCGTTCTCGTCCACGTACTGCCCGCTTTCATCTATGTACTGCCCGTTCTCGTCCACAAGCCGCCCGGTTTCATCAACATACTGCCCGTTTTCATTCACTAGCTGCCCATTTTCATCCACATACTGCCCGTTTTCATTCACCAGCTGCCCGTTCTCATCCACATACTGCCCGTTTTCATTCACCAGCTGCCCGTTTTCATCCACATACTGCCCGTTTTCATTCACCAGATGCCCGTTTTCATCCACATACTGCCCGTTTTCATTCACTAGCTGCCCATTTTCATCCACATACTGCCCGTTTTCATTCACCAGCTGCCCATTCTCATCCACATACTGCCCGTTTTCATTCACCAGCTGCCCGTTTTCATCCACATACTGCCCATTCTCATTCACCAGATGCCCGTTTTCATCCACATACTGCCCATTCTCATTCACCAACTGCCCGTTTTCATCCACATACTGCCCGTTTTCATTCACCAGCTGCCCGTTTTCATCCACATACTGCCCATTCTCATTCACCAACTGCCCGTTCTCATCCACATACTGCCCATTCTCATTCACCAGATGCCCGTTTTCATCCACATACTGCCCGTTTTCATTCACCTGCTGCCCGTTTTCATCCACATACTGCCCATTCTCATTCACCAGATGCCCGTTTTCATCCACCAACTGCCCGTTCTCATTCACATACTGCCCATTCTCGTCCACAAAATCTTCCTGCCCTTCCATATACTCCCCACCCTCCCCTTCCACATACTCCCCCTCACCATGCATATCATCCCCCTCCCCTTCCATATACTCCCCGTCATGCATCCCTTCCCCTTCATTCCCCTCACCTTCTCCGCCATACCCCTCCCCTCGCCCCTCATACCCCTCCCCATCACCTTCCCCATACTCCTGCGCCTCTCCCTGCCCTTCATACTCATCCTCGTTATAGACCTGCCCACCTGCTTCATCAGAGTAAAACCCTTCCTGCTGCTCTTGACTCAAATCCCCCCCCTCTCCCTGCTCAAACTGCCCATCCACTCCCTCACCGTATTGCCCCTCCTCATATTGCCCCTCCTCTTCATACTGCTCCTCCTCGTATTGCCCCTCCTGGTACTGCTCTCCATACTGCTGCTGCATCCCTTCCTCCTCCCCATCATACCTCTCCTGTTCCCCATCACCTTCCGCCCCACCCTCTCCTTGGTACTCCCCTCCCTCTCCACCATACCCCATGCCTTCCGGATCATACCCTTCCCCATCACCCTCCCCCACACCCTCGTCCTCCCCCTCCTCCACCCGTCCCCCTTCTCCCCCATTCTCCTCCTCTTCCCCATCGTACTCCTCTAATCCTCTTCCATTGCTCCTTCCTGGAAACCCCCATCCCCTACCCCCTTGCCGGCCTCCTCCCCCCTCACCCCTTCCCTCCTCCCCCTCTTCCTCCTCCCCATACTCCTCCCCCCCTCCCCTTCTTCCTCTATATCATGCTCGAGCACACTCCCCTCTCCCTCACTCCCAAAACCCCCTTCCTCCCCCCCATCTCCATCCCTTTCCATATCACCTCCTTCCTGCCCCCCTTCACCTCCCTCCCTGCCAAAACCTCCCCCCTCCTCGCCAGAGGCCTTCTGTAATCGGGCAAATGCACCCATCAACCCTCCTTCTCCCCCTCCCCCTCCCCCTCCTGCCCCACCCCCACCCCCATCACCCCCTCCGCCAAACCCCCCAAACCCTCCAAACCCACCAAACCCCATTCCACCCCCCATACCCCCCTCTCCATCCTCCAACCCCTCTTGAAAACTCAACAGCCGATCCATAATCCCAAACCCGCCCGCACCACCCCCCTCTCCCTCCTCACCTCCCTCCTCATCCCCTTCCCCTCCTCCTTCTCCGCCTCCTCCTCTTGCTTCTGCTTCTGCTGCGGCTGCGGCAGCAGCAGCTGCCTCTAACTCAGCCTGCTCCCTCGCCTCCTGTGCAAAGCTATCATCATCACTCTCGTCGTCCGCTTCCATAAACTTCTTACTCTCCCGCATCATCAGCTGCAGAGCGTTTGCAGGAACGGGGGTCGGAGGCAACTCCTCCTCTTCCTCCTCCCCCTCGTTCTCGTTCTCGTTCTCTCCCTCCTCCTCGTCTCCCTCCTCCCCTCCCCTCTCCTCTCCCTTCCCCTCCCCCTGCCCCTGAAACTTCCCTTGCAAGGGAAAACCCATGGGGCTGTTTAGAGCAGAAAGAGGGCTTCCCAACCCGCCAAACGCAGGGCTGCCTAAGCCATTCCCCAGCATGGGACTGCCTAAGCCACCGCCGCCGCCACCTATAGGACTCCCCATACCTCCAAACCCGTCCATCGGACTTCCCAACCCGCCGCCGCCCCCCTGCATCTGCTGCAGCTGATTCATCCTATCCATTAAGCTCATCCCTCCTCCTTCTTCTCCCTCCTCCCCCTCCTCCCCCTCGTCCCCTTCCTCATCACCTCCCCTCTCCCTTGTTTCACCTCTGCCCCCCGACTGCCCCCCCTGCCCCTGCCCCTGCCCCTGCCCCTGCCCCTGCCCCTGCCCCTGCCCCTGCCCCTGCCCCTGCCCCTGTCCCAGTTTCCCGCCCAGCATCTGCCTGAAAGCCTTCTCCAAATCCCCAACAGAATCATCTATCCGCTGCCCGGGTTGACCAATCAGCCCGTCGATCCCATCCTGTAACTCCAGTAGAGCAAACCCCCCTCCGCCTCCTCCTCCCCCTCCTCCACTTCCACTCCCTTTCGGGCCCGCCTTCCCACCACCACCACCACCACCACCACCACTTCTCCGCTCTCCCTTCTGCCGCTCCTGCTCCTGTTCCTCCTGCTGCTGCTGCAGCAGAGAAGGCAGAAGCAAGGGACCCTCCCGCTCCTCCTGCTCCTCCCGCTGCCCCTCCTCCGCCCTGCATGGCACGAAAGGCTTTCTCCAGGTCGCCAACAGAGTAATCCACAGGTTGGCCCTCCAACGCCAATGGCACATCCTTCCCCATTGACAGCAACGCAAACCCTCCCCCTCCCCCTCCCCCTCCCTCTCCCTCCCTCCCCTTCCTCCTCTCCTCTCTTTCCCTCTCCCTCTCCCTCTCCCCCGCTTTCTCCCCCCTCCTCCCTCTCCTCCTCGCCGCCCGATCCTCCCCGCCCTTCCCCATATCCCTCCTCTCCTTCATACTCCATATACCTCTCTCCCTCCTCGTCCATCTCCCCTTCCTCCCCATACTCCTCCCCATACCCCTCCTCTCCATACCCCTCCTCCTCCCCATACTCATCCTCCCCATACCCCTCCTCGTCATCTTCATACAACACATCCCCATTCATTCCCCCATACTCCCCCGCCACCTCTCCATTCACTCTCCCCCCCTTCTTCCTCCCCCCCCTTCCCAACGCAGGGTGCGCGAACTTGCCCCAGCTCTTTACAGCTGTATCCCTCTCTATCACAGACCCTGTCTCGTTCTCTCTTGTAGACCCAGAGCCAGTGCTGCTTTTGTTTAAAGCCCGACCCGATTCCACTATCCGGCTCTCCACCACGCCTCTAGCCTGCTCATCCTCATCCAACCCTTCTTCACCGCTCTCAAACGAGACCACTGACCCCGGACCTTCCTCTTCCCCATCCCCCTCCATTTCCCCTTCCCCCTCCCCGTCTCGATAAGCCTCCTTCTCTCCTCGACCCCCCCTCCCATTCTCCCTTCTGCCCCGTGCCTCCTCCTCCTCCTCTCCTTCCTCCCCTCCCCTCTCCTCACCCTCCTCGTACTGCTGATCCCCCTCCTCCCAATCCCCTCCCCCGCCCTCATCACTCCCCTCCGGAATCGTCCCACTCTGTTCCAGCATGGATGGAAGAACAAACTTCCCCTTCGCCCGCGGAGCAGGCGTTTCCGCCTCTGCCTCTTCATCCCCCTCTGGTATCCCCGATAGGTGCTTCCTCAGTGCAAGATCATACGCGCCGAACTCATCTTCCTCATCTATCTCATGCTCGATCCTCCCATCAGCATCGTCCTCATCCCCCTCTTCTTGCCCGTACATACCTGCACCACCACCAGCAGCACCAGCAGCACCTGCTCCTGCTACTCCCAAGGGATAGCGCCCCTGTCCCTGCATCTGATCCGCTTGGTTCATCCCATCCATAGCCCCCATCCCTTCCCCTCCCTCTTCCCCCACGTACCCCACCTCCCCTTCCACCCACTCCACCTGCTCCCCATACTCATTCACATACCCTCCGTCATGCCCACCGTACCCCTCCTCCCCCATCATATACCCCTCCTCTCCATACTCCTCCCCTTCCATCCCTCCCTCACCATAACCCTGCCCGTTTCCAACGCCCCCCTGATTATGGCCCCCTTCGTATCCTCCTGCTCTGATACCACCACCATCATCATCGTGAAAATCGTGAGGCTCGTGAGGGACACCACCGTACTCCTCACACGTGCACACCTCGCCTTCATAGCCCGCCCCTTCTTCTCCTTCGTACCCCATTTCCCCTTGCCCTTGCTCGTACTGCCCCTCTTGCTCGTATTGCCCTTCTTGCTCGTACTGCCCATCTTCCGGGTATTGCCCTTCCATATACTCCCCTTCCATATACTGCCCTTGCCCCTCATACTGCTCCTGCCCCTCGTACTGCTCCTGCCCTTCGTATTGACCCTGCTCCCCGTATTGCTGCTGATCGACATACTGTTGCTGATCGTCATACCCCTCCTCATACTGCCCATCTTCATAATCCCCCTGCTCGTGTTGCCCTTGCCCGTACACCACTCCCTCCTGCCCCTCCTGCTCATACCCACCCTCTTCCGCAGCATACCCCTCCTCCCCTCCATACCCCTCCTCGCCCTCATACCCCTCCTGCTGCCCCTCCGCATACTGCTCCTGATCGTCATAATCTCCCTCGTACTGCTGTTGCTGCTGCTGCAGAGGCACCATCCCTGCTGCTGCTGCTGCCGAACCTCTCCCCGGACTCGCCCCCTCTCTGTAGCTACCTTGCGAACCATGGGGTGACATGGCTACACCACCAGGACCCTGCCCCTGCGCATGGTACTGTCCCTGATGCTGCTGCTGCTGATGCTGCTGCTGGGTTAACAGCTCCTCTCCGCCGATAGGGTTACCATATTCGTCGTACATCTCTCCTTCGCCAATAGGGTTACCGTATTCGTCGTACTGCTGGTGACCCATCTCGTGCTCCATGTATTCTTCTCCCTCGTAACCCTCTTGACCTTCGTAACCCTCTTGCCCCTCATATCCCTCCTGTCCCTCATATCCCTCTTGCCCCTCGTATCCTTCCTGTCCCTCGTACCCCTCCTGGCCTTCATATCCCTCCCCATATTCACCACCATCCCCTCCGTATTCCCCCCCTTCCATGTAACCCTGCTGCTCCGCGTACTCTCCGCCCATCCCCGCGCCCTCTTCCCCATACTCCGCGTACTCCCCGTACTCCTCTCCGCCATGGGCGTGTGGAGGACCAGGGCCGCCGTCCTCCGGCAAATAATCCTCGTACGCGCCGTCCTCTTCCCCGTAATCACCTTCCTCAGCGTATTCTCCGTGGCCGGATTGGCCGCCATGGCCGACAATCCCGCCGCCTGTTGCGCCGTTGAATGCGGAGCCACCGTCGGGGCCCCACTCCCCATTCCCGTCCATTCATGCAGCTTCTGGGGGGGATTTGCTCCTGGTTTAGGGTCCTAGTTCCGCTGCCGTAATGCCACTACTTGGAAGCTCCAATTGAAGGAGAAACCGCCTACGACTCTGGAAGAAAACGGGATCATAAAGGCGAGGGGAGGTTAGAGGGGAAGAGGGCATGAAGGGTTGTAATAAACGAGGTAATGACTTTGAAGACAACTGAAAAGGGAATATTACATTAGGTCGCTCACAAAAGCCTTTCGGTAGGACACGGCTAGTCAAGATGTTATGCTTAGGGAATGAAACACATGGCATGCTGCGCGAAGAAAACGAGAAAGCCTGATTAGGGTACGGTTGCGACGAGGAAACGAACCCGCGGAGGTCGATCGTCTCTTAAATGCCGGAGCACGCCACACGCTATTCGCTCTGGATAACTGACGACGGCCATTTACGGCAACCACCGCCGCTCTAACCCCAGCATTCCCCGGAGCGATACTGTTTTATTCCGTCAAAGCGACATGGCGAATCGATTGCCGCCTAGCTGAGCTCGAGACGAAAGCCGAAGCTAAAGAAGCGCGATCCAATCGGCTGGCGACGCAATTAAGGGACGCAACAAAAACACACACTCTTTCGCTCGTCAAATTATCGAGGCTACTAGTAGTATCCGTAAGGGACGTGTGTGCGTTGTCCTTCAACAATGGTTCTGCTAGTGGTGAGTGGGATTGAGCACCAAATAATTGCCTTGGGTTGTCCCTTGGTGTTCTACTGGTTACACTACTTGCTAGCCTTGGGCTTGCCGAGAAAGCTACAGTTGGATGAGTGTCACCTCGCTATAAATGGTTTGGGCTCGGTGACAAGCGTGTCACCACGGTCTACAGCGGTCCAGATGCAGATTTCCTGGGAATGGGCTTTGCTTTTTCTGCGAGCCAAACTTGGTCCCTCTCTGCGAACAAACGTCGCTGTCGCACGCACTTCCGTACGTCGCAAGCGTTCGAGTTGTGGTCATCGGTGGCGTCACACGCCCGATGTCACATTTCTTCGCGAGTGTATTGGCAGAATCGGCGAGGCGACAAAAGCGGATATCAGAGAAAAAAACCCCAGATATGTAGGAAGGCGAACCGCCAAAAGCGGGATAATCAGTCGATCAGGGACAAACGACGTTGACGAAACCATGTGCTTTTTACTTTGTAACCTTTTGCGACGCAGGTTTGGCTGGGAGATTTGGGACTCGGAGGTCGTTGGGGGAATGATGGGAAACTGAAAGTTTACGGCTGGTCGCACCAAACCTACGGAGGCATGTGGTTCAGCCATGCGACACGCACGCAGCGTCGATTATATTCGTCAGCAGCGAGGCTTGGCTGCACGAAAATGAGATGTCCCAGTATGAAATTGGTGTCTCCAGATAGCAGAACACTTCATTCAAATATACGTGCCTATCATTCATCCATATTTGCCAGTTTGGAGTTGGACATATGATCAATCACTTTCTCAAGCTTTCCTTGAAGAATATTTATCAAATATTTTGATGCCAGTTTCAATATCTGCTCAACTATTACCCCCATCTTTCCTATTCCCCCCCATCCTCCTTAACACATATACACATTCTGTAGGCAACCAGATGGCATGGCACCACTGTCTCGGTGCCCATTGATTTAACGCATGGCAGGCTTAGTAAAAAGAGGAGTTTGGGCATACAATTGTGTTTTGATGCACAGGATAGTAGACCAAGTGCTTATTGGGTTTCCGTTACCGTCGTAATTCCCATATTTATATTCCTCCCTTCCATCTGCATCCCCCACGCCCCCCTTATTCTCTCATCCATCTCTCCTTCACCCAGATTGCCCCCCCACCCCCACTATTGTGACTCCTCCTCACTTCCTTCTCCCCTCCCCTTTGCTCTTCCAGCCAACTATGTACCAACCATGTATGAGGAAAAAATGAATCTGAAGATAGCAGAAGCCATGAAAAGTAAAGGAAACATATATGATATGCCATATTATGGGTAAGAAAGCACTATGTTGTATATATTAAAGAGTTGAACAGGTACAACTATGTTGAAATTTGCTTATCTGCGTTGTGAAACTGCAGGTTGCTAATCGAGGTCCTGAGACTTGACACGTGTTCATGGGCTCGGAGTCTTGTTTGGGATGACCTTGCAGGTCTGGTGGATGAGTGGCCCACGTCGGGGATATAGGAGTGTAGATTTTTTTCGGAACCGCGCGGTACGGACGACTTGCGAAAAGGGTATCCAGCTCACGGCATTGGAGCCCGCTATCGAATTGGAGAGCATGCGAGCTTTAACGAAAGTGTCTGCATGCCGTCCGGACCGTCGGTCCGGAAAAAGAAACACGCCCTCAGTTTGCGTTGGCGTTGGCGGACGGAGATATGCCAGCTCGGAGTCAGGTCGGGTGTGCACTGCCTTGCTGTGGTTTGTGTTTTGTACACTGCACTGTTACAGCGAAAACTTCCCTTCTCGCTCGCCCTCCCACGGTCACTGTTCGTCTGTTCGCCGCGGGCTGCATAGCACGGCACATGCTGCATGCCCAAGGCTGGGTTGGTGGAGTGCTGCCGCTGGCGTCGCGCAACCGCTTTCCCCCAACCCATCCCCCCTCCACTGAACAACCTCTCTCCACCGCTCTCTAAATCACTCCACTTCCCGCACCTTCCCCGCGAGTTGATGAACCAAATCGTGCCTGCCCGCGCCGAAACGCGGCAAATCAAATCATTGTTCTGCTCCGCTGCATGTTGTTCGGATTGTTTTAGCTGTCGTCAGTCACTTCTTCTCAGCCCGGCTCGGACAACAAAGGCTTCAAATCATATTTGTATGATATCTCTACTAGATTATTCACATATTTTTAGCTTTTCAGGATTGTGACCAGCGTTAGCCGAGACTTTGCAAAGAAAGCTGGCTACAGTACCGTAAGTCGGAGTTCTGTATTCATCCCTCCTCCAGACAGGAAACCTCACCACCAAACCCAAATTTTACATTTCTGCGAGCTGTCGGTTTGGGTAGCTTCGCTGGAGGAGAATCTAGTAACTAGCATGCAACCCTTCAGCTGTGACTGCTGGCAATGCAGTCCACCGGTCCATCCTAGCTAATGTATATTCTTAGATACATACTCAGCTCTAGAGGATGCTCTGCTAACTCTGATTCGTGTAGATTCCACTCCGATTCTTTCGTCGTTTCATTCCCAACACTCGTCCATCCACCGTCCGTTCTAGTCGCTCAGACCCCGCGGCTTTTAGACTCCTATCCTCCCATCTACTCTTCCGTAAACATTTTTCCAACTTGTAAGAATTAACCCATTTAGCTCATTTTCCTTCGGCCAGTCAGCAAGACAGCTAGACACGCCGTTCCTCGCTTCGTCCTCTCCAGGACGCTCTCCTTTCACCCGCGTCGCCGCGTTCTCTCCGAGCCGGCATGTCGTCCATTCTCGAGCAGCACAACGTGCGATTAATCGGCTCCGGCGCGCAGCTCGTAGTCCTCGGCCATGGCTTCGGCACGGACCAATCCGTATGGCAGCACATCGTACCGCACCTCCTAGACGACTACCGCCTGCTCCTCTTCGACCTCATGGGCGCGGGTTCCACCAATCCCGACAACTTCTCCTTCGCGCGTTACTCCACGCTCCACGCGTACGCGGACGACCTGCTAGCGATTCTCGACGAGTTAGACGTGCAGGAGTGCTGCTACGTGGGGCACAGCGTGTCCGGCATGATCGGGTGCATCGCCGCCATTGAACGGCCCGATGTGTTCAAGAAGCTCGTGCTCCTCGGCGCGTCGCCTAGGTAAGGCGGAGCGCGCCCGCAGCTCGTGGCTCATTTTTGCTCGTCAGATTTAGAGGTTCTGGTTAGCCACGAGCACTAGCTGTTACCGCTGCAGTTATAACGCCTCGCTACCCACTGGGTCAAAACGAGGGTTATATTTGAGGCGCAGCGGAGGCACGCAACCCTTACGTGTAGGCTCCTGGTAAACCACAACAGCCCAGTTCCAGTTCCAGCTTCGGTAGGAGGACCCCCGTATCCAAGCCGGAAATCGGCACGATCCTTTGCGAAAGCTTAGATGCTCACGAGCCGGCCGCAACCTTCCGCCCTCCCTCCCTTGCGCCGTCCGCCCTCGTCCATCCGCCCAGTAACGACGGGGATGTCGTCGGGGCCTTTCGAGTCGACTCAACAGCCACGCTTTCCCCCTCTCCCCCTTTTTCCCCTCTCACCCATTCCCCCCGGCTCCCCTTTTTCCCCTTCCCCCTTCTCATTCCCCGCCGCGCTCCCGGTCCCCCCGTCCCCGCAGGTACCTAAACGACGGAGACTATTTCGGCGGGTTCGAGCAGGAGGATCTGAACCAGCTGTTCCTCGCCATGCAGAACAACTTCCGCGCGCGCGTGGGGGGAGTCCCCCCCCCCCACACGCTCCCCCCGCTCCCCCCGCTCCCCCCGCTCCCCACTTCCCCGTCTGACGCCCTCCCCTCCCCCGCATGCTCCCGCTTTTCCCTCCCCTTGCCTCCGCAACCGCCCCCCGCGCTTCCCCACCCCCGCGCTTCCCCTCCCGCGCGCTTCCCCGCAGGTACCTGAACGACGGCGACTACTTCGGCGGGTTCGAGCAGGAGGATCTGAACCAGCTGTTCCTCGCCATGCAGAGCAACTTCCGCGCGTGGGTGTCGGGCTTCGCGCCGCTCGCGGTGGGGTCGGACATCGACGCGCCCGCCGTGCAGGAGTTCAGCCGCACCTTCTTCTGCATCCGCCCCGACATCGCGCTCTCCGTCGCCAAGACGATTTTCCAATCGGATATGCGCGCGATTCTCCCACAGGTGAGGGGATAGAAGGGCGGGGGGGCGGGGGGGCCGGGGAAGAGGGAGGGGGAGTGGGGGAGGGGAGCGGAGGACGAGGTGGGAGGGGAGGGGAGGGAGGAGCGGGGACTGGCATGGGTTTGCGTGCTATTCTTCGCGCCGCTCGCGGTGGGGTCGGACATCGACGCGCCCGCCGTGCAGGAGTTCAGCCGCACCTTCTTCTGCATCCGCCCCGACATCGCGCTCTCGGTTGCGAAGACCATCTTTCAGTCGGACATGCGCGCGATTCTCCCACAGGTGAGCGGAGGGGAGTGTCGAAAGTGGCTCTGGTGGTTGCGGGGGAAGGAAGAGGACGACGGGAAGAGGGGAAGATGGGATGGGGTGGTTGATTAGTCGGGGTGGGGTTGGGGCCGGGCGGGTGGCGGGGCAGGTGTGTGTGAAGGAACACGTGAGCGGGGTGGGGACGAGCGCTCGCGGTGGGGTCAGACATCGACGCGCCCGCTGTGCAGGATATGCGCCATCCGTCGCACAAACCAATTTCCAGTCCGACATGCGCGCCATTCCCCACCAGGTGAGCGGAGGGGAGTGTTGAAAGCGGCTCTGGTGGTTGCAGGGGAGGAGGGGAGCGGACGAGGGGTGGAGGGGAGGAAGGCGCGGGGTGGGTGGCGGGGCGGGTGTGTGATTGGGTGGGCGGGAATGTGAGTGCGCGCAATTCTGCCGCGGGTGGGAGACGATGGGGGAGGGGAGTTGGCAGTTAGGGTAAGGCCGCGTGGTGGGAGTGAAATGGTGGGATGTGAGCCATGGTGCAAGCATGCAGAAGGCATGGTGCATGCATGCAGAAGGCATGGTGCTTTCATGCAAAAGCCATGCTTTGTGTAGTGCTTTCCTCCGTGTGTAGCACTCTTCACATGCATGAGACAGGAGGCCTGCACTGCTGCCTGTGAAAATCTCTCTTTCCATTTCCCTCGCCTTCTTTCCATCCTAACCCTCTCTTCCCCTCGTCCATCATTTTCCGTCCCCTCCTCCCATCCAGGTGCAGGTGCCGTGGCACATCCTGCAGTCCAGCAAGGACCTAGCAGTGCCTGTCATGGTATCAGAGTACATGCACCTGCACCTGGGCCGCAACATGAAGTCTGCTCCATTGCCCGGAGAGGAAAATTTCTAATCCACAATTTTCCTCCACATCTGGAATCTGCCTCATTGCTCCCATTTCCCTTGCCATCCTCCTTTCCTAATCCTGTTTTCCCCCTCTTCCATCCCTCCCCACCCTCCCCATCCTTCCCACCCTCCTCCGCTCCTCCCTCCCAGGTGCGAGTCCCATGTCACATCCTGCAGTCCAGCAAGGACCTAGCAGTGCCGGTCATGGTATCAGAGTACATGCACCTGCACCTGGGCGGCAAGAGCGTTGTCGAGATCTTCCCCACACACGGCCACCTGCCGCAGCTCTCCACTCCCGAGATTGTCATTCCCGCTCTCAAACGCCACCTAAGAGGGAACCTCTAAGCTCTCCTTCTCGGTTCAGTCTCTAAGCTCGCCTTCTCGGTTTCAGCTTCCGCGCAGTTCATCCCTTCAGTTCCTCCTTGCGTGCTGCGCACGGCCACCTGCATGCCGCAGCTCTCCACTCCCGTCCCGAGATTGTCATTCCCGCTCTCAAAAGACACCTATGAGGGAACCTCTGAGCCCCTATAAGCTCCTATGAGCTCTCCTCCTCTGCTCCACTTCAGCCTCCGCTTCAGCCTCAGCTTCGGCAGCACATTTCCTCCTTGCATGCTGCGCTGCCGACGTGCATGACCACCTCCTCCGCACCTCCTCATCGGCACCTCCTCCTGCAGACATGCCGTGAGATGGCAACAGCTCTGCTATGACTTGCGCTGCGACTGTTATTTGTCTAGTTTGGTTTCTTATTCTTTGTTTCTCTTCTCCCGCCCCTCGTGCGTAACCTCCCCTCCACTCGTGCGCATCCACTTGTTGCAGTGGGCATTGCGTTGGATTAAATAATGCGGGTACCAGTATCAATAGTGTTCCTACGCACCGTGACAAGCTTCTCCTGTTGCCGGGCTTGAACTGGGTGCCTTGTTTATTGAAGTATCTTTGTTTTACACGTATTGGAACCTCTGAATCAGTTTAACACATGGATCTAGATTGCTCTTTCTTGCCTGAAAGCCGGAATGGCTGCCGTCACCTGTGCAGCGTGTGTTAAGAAACTAGCATCGTATACGGTATGTGAATTCTATGCCGTGCTGTGCTGCACACAACTGATTCCCCACATTCCTACAGTACCTCCAGAAGTATGGGCACCTGAATCCTAGGACTGCTGTAGCAGGCGTCGTTGCAGCATGTCAGAGGACTGACTAGCAGCAAGAGCCATTTCCTATTGTGGAGTCCTGCACTAAAGGCCTGGCAACTTGACAAGTACCGTATCCTAGGTACCGTATATCCACACTGCTGCTGCCTCCCAATCTGCTGATTACCGGTAGGTATGGTATCTAGTACCTCTCCCCCCTCTCCTCCTTAATCCACACCCGCTTGTACCGGCCCCTTCCTCTTCCTGACCATGCCCACCTTTTCCTCTCCTCCCCTTTCTGCTCATGTTCATCCCATCCCATCCATTCCCATGGCATGATGGCACTCGTATGGCAGGGGAACGAGAACAAGACAAAACCCACCACCATATTCAAACTAATAGTCAGATACGGTACCGCACTAACAGCACAGCAGCTTCCCTGTTCTTTGCTAAACACATCCCCTCTTCCTGTCCTTCCTCTCCTAACTCTCCTCCCTCTTCTTTATGCCCGCGTCGCCTTCCTCTCCTGCCTCTCCTTTTCTTGAATCCCCCCCTCTCCACCCCTCACCCCCTATCTTCGCCTCCATTTCTAGAACCCCCCCTCACGGTATCTTTTCAGAATCCTCGCCGCAACTCAGTGACGGTAGGCTGCCAGATCGGCCCGGAGCGCGCCAGGAACAGCGTGTACGCGCGCGACAGGTTCATCCATCCGTTGGGGGGCGGCCCGTACGCCGCGCTCTGCTGCGCCGCGCTCGCGGGGACGAACGCGCCCGACGCGGCGCGGCCCTGGTTCCAGAACCCGTACAGCGCCTCCTGCTGCGCGCTCGGTAGCGTGCTAACGAGGTCGTTCATACCGCGTACCATTTCCTCCGCCTGCACCGGCGAGCACTCGCAGTGGCAGAAGACGAAGCTGTCCTGCGCCGCGATTGCCGCCGCCACCCCCGCCGCGCCCGTCGCTCCCGCTACCGCGCCAGCCCCGGCGACGGGCTTCCCGCCGCCTCCGACGCTGAGCGTCGAGAGAAGCTGCGCCGTCGCGGCGGCCTGCGCGGACATCGCGGCGCTTCCGCCGGCGCCGGACGCGGCGGCAGCCTCGCCGCCGGGTCGCGAGGAGGCGGCGGGAGGGTAACGAAGGCAATAGTGCAACAGCAGCCGCAGCCAGATCGACGCGAACAGCACTCTTAAATCCGTCGGCGCGACGAGGCGGCGCGACGCGAAGGCTTTAAGTACGCCGTGCACGGCGGTCTTAACTAACAGGTGGCGGTGCCGCGAGGTGGTCTGCAGTCCCATAGTAGACTTAATATCGTCGTGGAGCCGCTTATCAGTAGAGAGCCAATGAAATACCTCGTCCGCTAGACCATACTCCAGCATCACGCCTACCAGCCACGCCATAGTCCCCTCTTTGCCCCTCAACCGCGCCAGGAGACTAATATCCGTTACGGGCGACATCGTCGCCGCAACCGTCGCGGGCGCGGGCTTTCCACCGATATCCCAGTACGTGCGGATGATCGCGCCAGCGCCGGTTGCGGCGCCTCGGCTCTGCGCCTCCCTCAGCAGCGTGTTGACAAGGCCTACAAACGCGTCTAAGAGCGCGCCGCGCTTCGCCTCGAAGCCGATCACCGGAAGCTCCCCATCCTCTCCCGCCTGCCCGCCGCTTTCTTCCGCCGCCGCGCGCAACCGCTGCTGCTGCTGCTCCCACTCGTCCCCCTCCCCTCCCGCGTCCCCCGCGCCGGGGCGCTCGGCGCTCAGCAGCAGGCACACGGCGTTTCGCGCCTCCTCCTGCATACGCGATAGAGGATTCGCTTCGGTATGAATCACCGCGACCGCCAGAAGCGACCGTAGGGTCGTGAGCGGATCGTTAACGGGGGGCAGGCGCGCAAAGACGCGCTCCGAGGAGAGCGCGGTCGCTGCGGCGGAACCCGCGACGGCGCCGGCGCCGCCGGCGGCGGAGGCATTGACGGCGGAGAAGGGGATGGAGCCCGCGAGTTGCAGCTCCCGCAAATGTTGGTGGATAACACGCGACTCGGCAGGAGACCAGGGAACGGATTCTAGGAACTGGAGGCACGCGATTACCGCCGAGTCGAATTGGAGCCGCACCGCGAGGACGAGCGCTTCGAGAACTTTCTGCACGCCCACGAGAGGGCCTGCTGGACCGGTGGTCGATGTCGCAGCTCCTGCATCGGCTTGTGACGGGAGGGAGGAAGGTGTTATCGGGGATGATGATGCCGCGGTCCCGAGAAGCGGCCCGAGAGCGACGGCGACGGCTTCGGGCAGCGGCACGTAGAACATACGAAGCACGGCGGCGTACACTGCGACGTCGCCCGCGTCGCCGAGCTCTTCATCCAGAACGTGCGGATCCTGCGGCGTCGCCACGGCGCCGCCGGAGCCGCCACCGGCGGCGGCCGCAGCAGCGGCGTCCGGAAGGAGGCATGCGAGGTACTTGCTCTTATCGACGAGTAGCGAGAGGTGGAGGGGGAAGGTGGCAAGAGGCGCAGGCGCATCCCGGGAGGCCCACACGCGGAGTAGCACGTCGGCGGTAGTTCGGTCCCCCCATTGCGGGCGCGGGGGAAGCGGCGGAGCGGGGAGGGCGGGCAGCGATGGGGGCGCAGCTTGCTGTTGCGCGGGCTGATTGAACGACATGGCGTGGCGGACGGAGGAGTCTGTAGAAACGCGCGCGGTAGCGGTCTTAAAGTTGTTTGAAGATCACAATGGAGGCTCTGTCTAGTCTTGAGACGTGCGCTGCTCGCGACTTGTCGCCTTGGTACGAGTGTAAGAGCCAGCACGGCTGCAGGTGCTAACACGGAGCTTTCGTACCACTAAGTCTGGATCTGTACCGTCTCTCTCCTGCTGTGATCTCTCAGCGAATTTGCGGCCTGTTGGGTTTCTCGCCTTTTTGGTCAAATTACGGGTGGGTTTTGCGCTCTAGGTTATGTGTTTCCCGGACGCGAGAGTTTGGTCCGGCTGGAATTACAAGCAGAGTGCCTCGGTCGGGAACAAACTGTTACATTTGGCTCGGATGAGGTACCCGCAGGGTGCGACTCGGTAAATGGTGGTTTGGGAGTGGTGTTAGAGGCGGTTCGGGACAGGTCTGACTGGGGGATTCACAGGTTGCGGGGGGCTACGGCGGAACCAGACCAGAGCGGTTTGGTCGGGCTTGAGAAGGCCAGTCAGGCGGCCTTGATGAGTGCCCCAAACCCGTGAGGTTCGGAGGAATCTCTCACTTGGGGGAAGCCCGTTTGCCGCAGTCATCGCGCGACCTGCCAAGCAAGGTTTCGTCGCAACGGTTTTCTTTAGGGCGCGGATCGCACGAACCTGAAAGGTAGTCAACCATGCGACATGCTTTCGGCTTTTGACGAAATGTACCCATTTGCCCGACTTTTGATAACGGTGCAGAGTCTCGTGTTAATAACGAGTTCAGGAAGTGTACGTTCTGTTTAGCCAAAATTACCAAACAGTGCACCTACACGTTTCTCATTTTGAACCATAGGATAGGACCTTCGCGTTTGATATCTTGCAATGCACTGTGCTTGGAGATATTATTGCACGTTCAATCAAACGCAATTTGATGTGATTGCACGTGGAACATCACTTTCACAAAAACACAAACCAATTTATGGTATCAAACCAAATCAAGGCTGTTGCCTGCAACTCAAGCACACTCAAAAGGCCAAAACGCAGGCAACATTAAATGGCACATCTTCAGACCCCACTGCACACCTTCACCAAAGTTGGCTTGCATGTAATCCACCCAAACTATCCGCTCGGTAGTAAATCTATACGCCACCATCTCCAAGCATTTCCCAGCAGGAAATAATTCTCAATACAGGCAGGCTGGGATCAGCTGGCGGCAGCAGCCATGTTGCTGCGCATGGCCAGTATCTTGCGGTGCTGGTTCGAGTGCTTGCTCTCCTCGTACTCCGGGCTGTTAGCCGGCCGGTACTCGGGACACAGCTTCCCCTTCTTGAACCGCACGCCGCATGCATTGCAGAGGGTCTTGGGCCCTGCAGGACCCATCCTCCACTGCGGGGTCTTGGTGGACTTGCAGTGCACACACCGGCGAACGCCATTGCTCACATTACTGGCGACAACTGCCGCAGCTGGAATCACGTTCGGGGCGAAACCAGTGTTCGGAGTTCCCGAGAAGCTCTCAAGACTGCTGGTGCTATTCGTCCTGGACCAACCAGAACCAGAACCAGAACCGAAAACTGCAGTGGCAACAGGAGAACCATCAGCACCAGCAGCTGCTTCCGACCAGCCAGGGGAGCCGGAACTTGAGGGTGAATTCCACATCTCTGCATACTCCGAGGTGTAAGGACTCCCACTGCTGGAGGAACCAGGCACCAGGTGAAGCACGCCCAGTGCCGTGGTGCCACCAAACGCTGTTGTCGCGTCTCTCTTGGTCTTCGGTGTGCGAGCCAGGCCACGAGCATGCCCAGCAGGGGCATCGCTGGTCGCCATGTCGTGGCTTTCCTCCATCATTCCGAACCGGAAGGAGGCAGCACGCACGCGCCTTGGCCTCCTCACATCCTCCAGAAGGGCCTGCAGGAAGGCTGTGCGCGGCTGGACCCAGGAAGTCGCTGCTGCTGCCGCTGCTGCTGATGCAGATGCAGACGACAGAGGAGCAGTGACTGCTGACAGGGTGTCAGACGAGAGAGCTCTGCGGATACTGGACGCGAAGGGGGACGCAGAGGCAGACGGAGAAGCAGACGCAGAGACAAAGACGGTTGATCCGGATACCACGGACGCGGACGCAGCTGCGTGGGGGCCGTCCGAATTGGCAGAATCGGCCACAGTGAACACCTCAGAGCCGTCCCGGCCCTTGCTCTCATCGCTCGCAGCAGCACCAACGGAAGCAGACACAGCACTAGCATCAGCGCAAGAGGCCTCGAAGGAAACCCGGCGCCTCTTCGACCGCGGCGCCTTGGGCCAGCAGGTGGCAAGGCAAGCAGCGGCCAGCCAGCCGTGGGGAGCTTCGGGAGAGCCGAGCGACGCCCACATCTCATCGTCCTCCATCACGCCGCTGAAATCATCTCCAACCCCGTCCTCTTGGCCGAAGTCCGAGTACAGAAGCACCCGGCCAGGCAGGCCCCCCGCTTCTCCAAAGTGGAGATCGTCGCGAGTGTTGCCTGAGAGAAGATTGCTGCTCGACTGGAAGACTGCGAGAGGCTTGGAGGTTGCCGAGCTTGGCGACGTGCCCTGGCGCCGCAGGACTGAGACTGGGCTGCCGACAGCCTCCTCCTGGAGGGACTCCAGAGAGGCGATTGTGAGGAGCTCTCCTTTCGCGGAGGCATGAGTTTCGGGTTGCTCAGGTTGCAAGTCCTGGGCTGAGAAGGTCGACCAGTCGTACGGGAAGTCGAGGGCACCCTGCATTGTCAAGAGAATGGGAGAACAGAAGAGTTTGAGATTGCACTCGATTGATAGGAATGGTTGATACTGCATGCAATTCCGGTTCGTGCGTGGTGGTGATGCAGTCAAGACAGCAAGCACAATGGTTCGAGAAAAACGCGACTGACCATGCAGAGAGCGGCAGGAGGCAGCAAGTCCTCGTGCACCACGTCCAGGGACGCGTCCTGAGGCACGGTCAGCGGCTTGTGGTTAATGGGGCCTGCAATGTCGTCGTTGGAGAACTCCAGAATCTCCACCTCCTCCACCACCAGCTCGGATTCCACTACCGCTCCTAGCTTCTTCACATCCATGCTCTCCGTGTTCTCCGTTCTCTCCGTGTGAATTCCGGAACTGGTTCCTTGATGAGGCTTGGCCTTCAGAGTGGCCTTCTCCTCAGAATCCACGCCATGCTGATGTTGTTCCTGGTTCTGACAGGGAATACTTCGGTGCTGAACTGCATGCCGCTCGAGCACTTGACACGCTTGTGGATGTTGCGGATGCTTCGAAATCGCCTGAGAACACGCGAAGGGAACGACCAAGGACATGAGAAGTTAGCACTTGATATACATGAGCAATGTAGCCCATAAACCACACAATGTACCACATTTCGCCCTCTCCTGACAAACAGCCAAGTACATTGTGAGTCCTGACAGCGACTTCCTTATCAATGAGCATCTCGCCTGTGGAGGACTCGGGCTCATGCCAACCAGCATGGAAGACAAATGGCAGAGCAAAATTTCCATAGGCGTACCAAGAGTGGAGACCTCAACGCGGAAACAGAATCTGCCGGCGAAGAAGAAAAGGATTGCTGATGACCGTTATCCCTCCTCTCGCCACTCCTGCTCCAAGGAACACCGGCGCTCGCGGAGCAACCCGTCGAAGACGGCGGGACGGACGGAACCGAACCTGCTCGAGCTCCGCGAAAGGAGACAGATGCTCGAAATATTGGACGGTTCGCCAACGACGACGTAGGTGGCTCGGACCAGGAATACGGGTGGTGATCAGTGGTGATGAAAGCGCGCGGGTGTGGCGGCGGAAGGAGAGGAGGGAGCTGACGAGTGGCGAGCTGACAGTGAGGCAACGACGATGGAGGCAGCCGGGGAGCCCCATGCGACGGAGTCATGGCTGACCATGTCGCCTGCGTGACAGAGACACGGATGAAAGGGAAGGGGAGACAATATAAAGGTGAACTGAAAACACCAGAATAGATGTAAGGTGGCTCACAGACGAGGATGGAAGGTGTCATGATGTTAAAAATCGGAAAGCAGAATAAATGAGCAAGGTCCAACTACCTTGTTCTGAACATAAATATTCGAGTTAAAAAGCACGAGGCGCAACGGAACAGCCCGTCGTCATTAAGGCTATAACCATCACACAACAACATAGCCAAAAACTCGAAGAGCCATTCTCTCGGCTTACCTTTGATGAAAGCACATGGCTTTCCATCGGCACAGCCTTCCTTGCGGTGAAAGACGGCTCGTTTGGGGCCATTTTCGAAGCGAAAGTAACTCCTGAGAACGGATTGTATTAATCGTTTTAGCTCTGAAATTTCGGCGCTGCCGAATGTACAGGACTCCTCAGCTGCTGCTACCAAAACAGGCCTCTTCTGGTCTTCAACCTCGTTCCTTGGTTGGCCAGCGTCCGTCAGGCAAGGTCGAATCAGCCCAGCACAACCCAGTCAGCGGGGCTTTCAGGGTCGCCTGAGCAGCAGTCGCTGCCTTGCCTGAGCTTTGCCTGTGCTGGCAGATTGGAAAATGTGCTTGGTCTGTATTATTCCTTGCTGGTCCACAAGGCTGGCTATCACATGGGGTGGGATGGGATGGGATGGGACGCTGTCTGTGCTGCTCGCTTGTTGCTTGGCTCACAGGGTTTTGGAGGATCTGGTTTGGTCTCTGCGGCGGGGAAACTTGCTCGTGCGGAATCTTGCTTGCGCGGACCGCTTGCTGTTCGCGGGGGTTGCTGGGCGTTTGGTGATTGATCGGCGCAAGTGGTGTTGCGCGCGGGGCCTGGTGATGCGGGGGGGCGGGGAAAGGAAAGGGGAATTCGTGCCGTTTTTGGGGAGAGCGGCGGAAGTCGCGGGTGCGGAGTTACGTAAGGAAGGCTTACGTGTCTGTGCTGACGCGGAGGCGCCCCACCATGTGCCCCAAGCCAACTGGAAGACATTGTTCCCTCGTCGGTTTGCCCCACCAGCACCCACAGATTTTTTCCAAGAACCTAGATCTCCACGCGCACTCTGGGCCCATGTCGATTGGACAACACGTCATTCCCTCCCAGAATGTTTTCTTGTTCGCCCGGGTTTTCTGGCACGGACTCCGTGATAGTTGGAGAAGCACTGAATGCTCCATGCAAAATTTTGCGCGCCAAGCCCACGGAAGCACTAGGATTTCACCGATTGGTTGTAATTCCAGCCTACGGCAATGGTTCGTGAGATTCTTGCGTTCAGCGCCTTCCTCGTTGCTTCGTCTACGCGCACAGAACAAAGATTCCAGAGCGTATTACCCCTCGCAGATCGAATGTTTTTCATAGCCTTGCCAGCCCACCGCATTGCTGCGAGTACCCTCCAGCACTTCCAGTAGTTCCCAGGGACCCTTTCTGAAAGTAATAAACGTCACTCTATCACCCCTCCCGAGCTACCCCAACCACCCCGCTCCCACCGATGGATTGAGCAACTCGAAACAAACTGGTTTGGGTAGGATTATCAAAGCTGGGACCACTCGAAAGTACGCAAACCAGCGAAAACACACCAGCATGTGAGGACTACGGTCCAAACTTCTTCTACCCGCAAACCTCACATGTGTCCCTCAAAAGGGCACAGAAGCGTCCGTACAGGTATCGTCCCAGTCTGCTCCGTCCCTGGTTCTTTCATGGCCGTTCACCATCAAGTCGCACTTTGCTGGTTGAGCTGAAAAGTCGACAATGCGAGTCACGGCATGGGGAACAGAATACCCTGCATATTTATGGGCAACGTGAGATTTGACTATAACACAGAAAACGTGGGGCTCCCCACAACATTGAGATCTTTGGTGCCCATATGCTGGACGTGCCAAGCCATGTGTTTGCCGCAGCGAATCACGGATGCTCGTCGAAACTGCCAAAAGTGGGGACAGCTCGATCGAATCACTCAGATATCTTTCGTGTGGCCAATAAATCTCTCGCTCATCACCGTCCAGCCGCATGGAATATGTCCTGCGATATTGTGGACTTCGGTCACTCCTACAGTTGACACAAACTGGAATGGAACCTAGTCTGAAAACTTCTCTAAAACGCAGATACACCATTATTTATAATCAAAATGTCAGTCAGCCAATCGCCTGTAAGAAACCTACCCTACGAAAGTAAGGTCAGATGCCAATTAGGGAGCCAGAGTGAAAACGAAGGAACGGTTACACCATCATAATAGCACTGAGGCTGAAAAGGAAACGGGAAGTCTAAGAGGGGAGGGAGGCCAAGAAAGAGGGGGAGGACGTGAAAGAGGCAACCGGACAGGGAGAGAGAGTGAAAGAAGGGCAGAAGCTGGGGATATAGGGTGAGAGAGGTCAGCAGCAGGTGGCATTTCCTCTAAGCTAACCCTCATGAACTCCTCAAGGTCTCCTGCAGCCATCAGGACAGCAAGATGGCCTCCGAACCAGCCTGCCTGCCACCACACATCAGTCCTAAGAGCATCAAACAGCAGCAGACAACAAGGAAATACGCATCATGTGAAGCACTACTAGCACCTAAACACTAGGCTCACTGGCTCTATCCGATCCAAGGCTCTGAAAAGACATGCACCACCAGCAGCAGCAGCAGCAGTGGCAGCAGCAGCAGCAGAAACGGCTAAGCATTTGCATTCAGGCACAGCTGCTCCAACAAGCCTCTTCTGCCTGCACCATAGATTATCGCCTCACACCCCACCCCACCCCTCCCAACACCCACCTGCGAGCACTCTTCCCTCCTGCCCCTCCTCCACTTTCACATACACAACTATTTCACTCTGCTCGGCTAATACACCCATGCTGTACCCATCTTCATCCTTTCTCCTCTACTTCTTTGGCTGATCAGCCTTCACTCCACCACGGCCCTCAGTCACCTGCTTGAACCCTGTCCCATCCTGTTCCGTGTCCTTTATCTAAATCAACAGACCATCGAGAATCACCCAACAACCCTCTCTCTCTTGTTGCGCTCTTCTGCTTTTGCCAACATCACACCTTTCCCCAAACTCTATCCGGCTAAGCCAAGGCTTTCCCACACAGGTTCCTCCCGTCTGGACGTCCAGCCTTTTACCCTCCCATAAATCAACCTTCACCCATCAACTCTCCATCACCCCTTACAAATGACCTCTCCATCCATCACGTCCACACACATCATCCCTCTCCCTTCCCACTACAAAGCCCCCATCGACGCAGCTCCCTCCATTCCATCCCCACTCCCCCCATGCCCTCCCCCTCCCCCACCCCCTCCGTCCATCATAAACCCTCCCATGCCCCCTCCCCCACCCCCTCCTCCGCCCAACCCCAAGTCCGCATCATCCATCCTTAAGGCACAACTCGCGAGCCTTGTAATCGCCTGCTGCAGGCTCGGCTTGCACAGCGCCTCCAACTCCTCATACAGCCTCACAAACTCCTCGTGCGTCTTAGCCGCGAGCTCGAAATCCTCCTGCCGCTGCCGGTTGGCCGATTTCCTCGCACCAGGCGTGCCCATCTGCAGAGCAGACGTCAGCCGGTTTGTCACATCTAGGTGCTTCTTCCACGCAGCACGGCACTCCCCAGCCTTGCTCTTCACCACCAGACAAGCCTCTTCCATCAGCTCCTTCCCGTCTTCCATTGCCATGACCGAACCTTTGAATCTCTCGTCCGCCTCCGCAACCCTCCTCTCCTCCTCTTCCACTGCTCTCTGAGCCGCCACAAGCTTTTCCTTAGCCGCATTCAGCCGCGACATAGCCGCGTCTGCCTGCTTCCGGTCCTCCTTAATCTGCTTCTCCAGCTGCTTCGTCCCCTGGGAGAATCGCAGCAGCGCCTCCTGTTCAAGCCTCATCACCTCTTCCAACTCCTCGTCCTGCTCCCCTTCCAACGATCCTTCCACCATGCTTCCCGAACCAGACTCCACAATAGAAAGATCAGTCCCTCCCAGCTCCGACGACCCTACCGATAACCTCCCAAGCGCCGAGCCTCCCACGTGGTTCGGCGCGAGGGGCGGCAGATGCGAGTCCGAACCTCCCATTCCATCCCCACCTTCCTCGGCCACCTGCGCTGGCTGATGTTCCTTCCGGGACCGCCGCGGCTTGGCACTAGCCCTCGAGCTTCTGCTCGTGCAGGACATCTCCCCTTCGCTCATATCCTGCCCGGACGCCGAATCCACAGCCGACGACCTCCGCTTGCTCTTCTCCTTCTTCTCTTTCTTCTCCTTCTTCTCCTTGCTGCTCTTCTTCTTCTCCCCGTCCCCATCCTCATCCCGAAAGCTCATTGAAGCAGTGGACCCAGGGCTCCGAACGTCTAAGTGATCGCTGTTAGTCTTAACAAACTCCATACCCCGCGACCGCCTCGACGGAACGCCTGTCGACGGCCGCTGCTTCTGCATCGGATCCTCATTCTTATTCAGATTCAGATTCGCCCAGATCGTATCCATATCCGCGCCTGCTGGGGCCCCTCCTCCTGAAGCATAATTCCCGCCAGACCCCTCCCCTCGCATGCGGCTTTTCTCTTCCATAACCTGAACGTCCATCTTAAGCTTCTCTAGCTCTTTCTTCTGCTTCGAAGACAGAGCGCCCTTCCGAGACGACCGTTTCCCCCCACTGCTCGACTGTCTCCCGCTTTCCACACTCATAAAGCTCGCTTCAGACCGTTCCGATTCACTCCCAGGGCTATCCTCCCCTCCTCCCTCTCTCGCATCCTTCGCAGACTCTACAGATCGCCGTCGGCTCATCCTCTCCTTGCCCCCTCGCGGTATCCCCCCGCCTGGCGCTGACGAAACTGGCGCTGCTGCTGCTGATGCGGATGCTGCAGCAGCGGCAGCAGCAGCAGCCGCTTCTTCCTCCTCTTCCTCAATCTGCTTTGCTGCCATTGCTGCTGCGTGTGCTGCTTCCTGCCTGAGCGTTGCCGCGTCCCGAACAGGCCCCCCTGCTGCAACCATCCCACCCATGCCGCCCATGCCAGGGGAACCCATGCCGCCTCCTGCATGGTGATCGTCCATATCGTCCCCAGCCGTGGGGTGCCACGGGCCCATAGCGAGGCACACTGTAACGAGGTCTTCTCTGCTGGTGGAGGTGACTTTGATAGAGTCGCAGAGAACAGAGGCAAGCACCTGGACAGGGGGAGACGCGGAAAGAAGGGAATGAGGACGGGACATGAGGACGGGGAAAGGATGAAAGAAGGAAAGAAGTAATGCAGCGAGCTGGCGCAGGAGATTAAAGGGGGGAAGACAGTAAAAGGCGAGAGGAGAAGAGGGAGGAGGAGCGCGGAAGCGGACGGAAGAGCCGGAAATCACTAAGTATATCTGTGCTACACTGGCGTCGCGCACAGGCCTACCCAGCACAGCAGGGCAGCCCCACGCCCAGGCCCAGCCAAACAACGACCTTTTAATACATCCACCTGCGGGCTACTGTAAAGACGCTGCGCCGAACCTCTCTTACCACGCCCCATGTTTCTCCGCACGTCTCTTCTCACCACTCTTGCCTACCCCATTATGCTCTCACCTGTAGCACGTACATCCACGCCCTGTGAGAATGCTCCACACCCATCGTCTGCATCTGTTTCTGAGACATCTCAAACTTTCAAGAGTTTCGCGAAGTCTCGAAACCTTGAATTTTGAGCCGTTTAAGAAAGTCATACAGAGTGCACTAGTACCAAGGTAACTACGTGAATATTCTTTGCCAGGCTTGACCCTATCACCTGCAGCACGCCCAGGCCCAGCCCGTAAACATGCTCCACGTTCAACGCATGTTTCTGAGCATTGAAACATCTCACAAGTTACACCTCCTTTGTTGCGACGCCTCATAGATCATGAGCTTTGAGAACACGCATTCGCGCGTGAATCGCTCACCTGCAGCACGCCCAGGCCCAGCCCGTGAATATCCTGCACGTTCAACGCCTGCTTCTGATACTTGGAATCTCAAAATTTACAACTCCTGAGTTCAGGCGACTCAAAAGTCACGAGCTTAGGAAAGACGCGCGCACACATGATTCGGTACTCATCGATCGCTCACCTGCAGCACGCCCAGGCCCATCCCGTGAACCTCCACGTCCAGCGCCTGCTTCTGACTTTCGAGACATCCCGGTCGAAATGCGCTAAAAACGCACGCACGCACGCACGCACGCACGCACGCACGCACGAACGATCACATCCATCGCTCACCTGCAGCACGCCCAGGCCCAGCCCGTGAATATCCTCCACGTCCAGCGCCTGCTTATAACTTCCGAGACATCCCGGTCAAAATGAGCTCAGAAAACACGCACGCACGCATCAATCCGCACTCATCGATCGCTCACCTGCAGCACGCCCAGGCCCAGCCCGTGAATATCCTCCACGTCCAGCGCCTGCTTCTGCCCCATGATCACGTCGCGCAGCCGTCGCAGCTCGTCGCGCTGCGCCTCGCGAAGCTCGCGAACCGTCGCCAGGAACCGCGCGTGCATGGGCGTGCGAGCCAGGAGCGAGTCCCACTGCTGCGGGTTGGACAGAAACGCGCGCAGCAACTCCTTATCTCGCTCTAGAAAGCTCGAGCTCTGGTTGTCATAGACGCCCCCGGGGCCTCCTTCCGCCCCCGTCCCGCCTCCGCCTTCTCCGCCTGTTGCGCCGTGGGCGGAACGCGAGGCACTGTTTACTCCGCCCGGGGCTTGCTTCGAGTTCACTCTGTTGTACGAGCGCTCGCGTCGCTGCTCGCTTGGCGAATCCGCGCTGTTCACTCCCCCGCCCGCCTGCCGCGAGTTTATACGCGCAAAGGACCTTTCCGCGCGCTCTCCCCGCTCCCCGTGCCCCCCCCCTTCCCCGTCCGCGCTGTTCACCCCTCCCGCCGCCTGCCTGGAGTTAACCCGCCCATACGACCGCTCCCGTTCTCTCTCTCCATGCCCCCCTTCCCCGTCCGCGCTATTCACCCCCCCTGCCGCCTGCCTCGAGTTTATCCGCGCGAACCCCCTCTCCGCCCTCTCCCCGTGCCCGTGTCCCCCTTCCCCATCCGCGCTATTGACTCCCCCGGCTGCCTTTTTAGAGTTCACCCGCCCAAACGCCGTCCCGTGCCGCTCTTCTCTAAGCCGCTCGCGCTCCTCCTTGTGCCTCTCCCTCTCCTCCCTATGCCTCTGCTCGTCCTCCGCGCTATTCACTCCCCCCGCCGCTTTTCTTGAGTTCACTCTCCCGAACGGGGACGTGTGGTGCGACCCCCCTCCCCCGCTATCCGCGCTGCTCACGCCGCCCGCCGCCTGCCGCGAGTTCACGCGCGCAAACGCCGCCGCGCGCCGGTCCTCGTCCGCGCTGTTCACTCCGCCGGGCGCCTTTTTCGAAATCACGCGGGAGAAGGCTGGCGGGTGCCCGCCGCCTCCGCCATCGGCGCTGTTCAGCCCGCCGGGGGCCTGCCGCGAGTTCACGCGCGCAAACGCTGCCGCATGCCGCTGCTCCTCCTCCAGCGAGTTAATCCCCCCGGCAGCTTTTCTCGAACTCACGCGGGCGAAATTCGACCCGCCGCCGCCGCCGCCATCCGCGCTGTTGAGCCCGCCGGCCGCCTGCCGCGAGTTCACGCGCGCGAAGCGGTGCGCCGCCGCCGCCGCCGCCCCCTCTTCCGCGCTGTTAATCCCGCCCGGCGCCTTCCTCGAAGCCACCCGGCTAAACGGTGACGACGAGGTCGACCGCGATTCACCACCCCCACCACCACTTCCCGATCCTCCCCCACCCCCTCCCCCTCCCCCTCCGCCGCCGCCGTGTCGGTCAATCCAGGCCTTGGACGAGACGATGATCTCGAGGAGTTGTTGCTTGCGCAGGCGCCACAGGCCCTCCTTGTCGCAGAACATGAGCGCGAGCAGCTGCAGCGTCTCGCGCTTCTCCTGGTTCAAATCGTCCTCCGTGAGATTGTGCGTGAAGAGCGCCTCGCGAAATTCCTGGGAGTAGCGAGGAGAGAGGGAGGGTGAGGGGAGCGGAGGGGGTACGGGAAAAGAGGAAGGGAAGGGAGGGGAAGGGAGGGGAAGGGAGGGGCGGGAAGGGGAGGGGAGAGGGGAGGAGAGGAGGTTGTGGGTGGGCATGTGGTTTGGCAAGCAGGCAGGAGGGAGCGAATGGGAACGGCGGCAATAGCGACGGAAGAGAGGAGAAGGGTATGACCAGAAGCGGCATGGGGGAAAAAAGAAAACGGGAGGGTGACGTATGGAGAGTGCCGGAGACGCATGGAGGGTGCCGGATACGCATGAAGAGTGCCGAAAATGGAAAAATACGAGGTCTGCAGCAAATGCTTATCCGCATAAGCGCGTACGCTTTTGGCACCGACTCGGAAAAAGAACAGCGCGTACACTGAACAGAAGCGGACCACACAAAACCGGTAACGACCCCGGTTTTCTCCCCCGTCTTGCTGCAAAGAGAGAAAATACATCCTTAAAGAAAGCATATCAAGCCACCACGATACCTTGAGTATGTTGGGATGGTTGGCGCGAACGTTCTGCATGTACTCGAAGACGTAGAAGCGATTTGAGGGGCTATCCTCGAGCGTGCTCCAGGCCTCGCGGTGCTTTAGAAACTCCTTCACCGTGTTCACATCCTGCGACGTGAAACCAAGCTGCCGCGACAGGCGCCATGTCTTCCACGTAAACCCCTCGTCGCCGTAACTTAAGTTCGCGCCGCCTCCCGCGCCTACCATGCTTTCGGACCCGTGCTCCTTAGCGCTTCCCCCGATGCCTAAGTTGCTCCGATTCTTCTTCCACTTTAGGAGGTCTTTTCTAAATTTGGACGCGCTGACCTCCCCGTCCATCTCCATGTGATCGCTATCCTCGTCCGTAGAGTGCCGCGCACGCGACGGTTCGGACGACATCGATCTAGGGACGTCCATAATGGAAGGATAGTTAGTAGACGTTAGAAGCTGTCTCTTCCACTGATGGTAAAGGAACCACCAAAAGAAGCGGAATTGGCAGCGTTACTGTCACAGTCAAGCCTGATTAGGTCAATAAATCAGTCTGCTGCCAGAAAGCTCACGGAGTGAACCACGTCCCAACAAGAATGTCCGAAAGCCCTAACTCGTTCAAGTGCCGTTACAACAACGGATACCACCACTCACTCGAACGACCCTCGGTTGCTCTATCCCTAATTCGTTCAGGTGGCCTTGAATAATCTATTACATAACTTCGCCTGCAGACAATTATTGTTCTCCCCCCCCCACTCGGTTAGGTCGACCTTGCTCTTTGCTGCTTCAGATACGAGTAAAACCAAATCGGCCAACCAATTCGCCAAAATTTGCCCGAAAGAAACGCCTCTTTTCTCTCCTATGTATTGAAATGGAGCTTTTATCGAACATCGTAACCCCCCTACTCCTAGACCTACTGCGGTGGAACAGACGCTGCTAGTAGAGATTACACGACACACTCGAAGACCGATAAAGAAAGCATCAAACAGAGACTGGAAAGTTTAGGAAACTTGAGACGAGACGTAAGGGTGTCAGAAACTAGTCGTTAGGTAAGAAAGCGCAGAAGGCGAGATGGGCGAGCGAACAGATCGGAGGTGCGCGAACCCACTACGCCACACACAGCGAACCTCGAGGAACAGAGCCCAAGGGAAACGAGCATCAGGAAAGGGAGCAGCAGAACAGGAACAGGGGAGGAGGAAATCTAGGTTTGCGCGCAAACCTCGAGGTTGGAACTTGGAAACTAGGAACAAGGCAGTGCGCAAACCTCGAGGTCAGTGGCACCTACCATATCCCGAACACACTATGAACCGTACTAAAAGCACTAGGAAACGCATTAAATCCTGAATGTTAACACAGAACCGCTCTGTTCCGTTCTTTTGGGGGTTGGCTCCTGGGTACTGCTTGTCCCTTTTTCTCCGGCCAATTGGAGAGTTGGGCAGTGGTTGGGTTGGGGTGATTCACGAACTTCTCGCCACTCTACGGGCAAAGGAAAGGCGGGAAGGGTTCCACACACACTTGCGTCGCAGTGGGTCGCAGGGAGGATGCGAGAGGAGACGAGCTGTCGTGCGACGATGGGAAACAAAACGAGACCAGGGGCCACTCTGATGTTTCGTTAGATAATCGCCTGAGGTTTCGCACATGGACGAGCGCGGAGTCGGTTTCGTTGAATCACTTGCGGAATGGCATTTGGTTTGCTGCTGTTCTCCGCACGATGCTGAGAACCTAACGGTCGCTTGGCCTACCCACCAAGTTGCGAACCAATCGAAAAAGGCTGAAACAAACAACGCCTTCATCCGCGATTGAGATCGACGGTGAAGATTGATTTCGACTGCGGAAGCCTCACGCGCAAGCTGCGTGCAAGGGGGACTACTGTTCCACAGGTCCTAACTAGGATCAGCTGGACTGCTTGCCACGATTGCGCGGACGTGCGGCTACCGGATCGAACATGGCATGCAGATTTTGTAGGCGGTGTACGTTCTTATATACATGTAAGGAATTACAACTCCTTACTGTACTCACATTTTAGCGAGTACAATCCGAACACCACGCGTCAGCCCGGTTCGGCCTACAAATCCGCCCCGAACCACTTCCGAGTCGCCACCGCTCCAATCGCAACACTTTCCGAGCCATCCTAGCCCGAACCCTTCGCCTAGCTAGGATTCTCCTTATAAATTCGCGTCACTTTCATTGTATCGTCATTCAGTAGTCATTCATTCTCGATATTCGTTTTACTGCGCACTCTGCAAGTTCATTCATAACACCTGGTATCAGAGCTACTTTCCTAGCCTACCCCGCTTTTTAGAGTGTAATACCCCTCGGGGGGGGGGGGGGGGGACGAGGAAGGATGTCTTGGGGTCCAGGAGTTGCGTAGGCCGGCCAAGAGAACGGGTTAGTTGCTCTTCGCGGCCATGGTTTTACGGGGCACTCCTTCGGCACCGCCAGATCCTTGCCTCGAACGGTCGCGATCGACCGTGACCTCCCTCCCCCCGGGCAACGGAAAGCTGAAGCTGTCGCGACTTGAAAACGTGAGTTATTTCCGCTGCGTCGCGACGATTTCGGAGTTATTTTCGTGTGGCAGCTGGCGTCAGCGGATCTGCGTCGGCACCTGCACGAAATTTTCGGAGTCGTCGTCCTGTGCGGCAGTTGGCGTGGTTGTTCGTCAACGTGCACGCGAGAATTTCGGAAGAAGCTACTGTTGAAGAAAAAACAAGGGACAACTGTACGGACTCGCCAGGCGCTAAAGTAATTGCGTCGGGAAAAGTCCGTGACGAGGAGAGACGCCACGACGACTGCCCGACTATTGCGGGAGTCAACTGCCGTCCCGCCCGACCGTTTAAGTGCAGCGGCTTTTACTGCATGGCGGGCGCGTCACCGACGATTTCGGCAGGAGCGCATGTGGACAGACGGGACTTCATACCCGCCGACACTTACGGGCTGCAACGAGGAGTGGCTAAATCGCGCTCAATAGGAGTGGGACGCAGGCGGCGAGGGCAATTCGGGCCCATACACCCCGAAGAAATCTCGCATGACGCTGCGTGCCTGGTACTGTTGACAGCTGGCCGGCCGTTTCGAGAGTGGATTCCCTGTAAGGAGCACATTTTCGGGGACAGCTGCAGCAGCCCACGGTTAAACGGCGTTAAAAATACCACCCCGACATTACGACGGAGAGTGGTAAGGCCGCCGGGACACACGGACAGAAACTGCCCGACGGCTAAGCGGGGGTTGGAGAACGACGAAGGGAGCAGGTTAAAAGCCGGTGGAAACGACCTGCCGCCCTCCGTCGCCCGAACCTCACCATCCCCACCAAGTCTTGGTTCCGGCTCATGCAGCCGACCTGACCTGGCCGAATAACGGGGGTGAACACGTGCCTACCCTGTGCTGGTTAAAGGCACCTGGTTTGGTGCTCGTTCGACAGCTGTACGAAAATACCAAAAAAAGAGGAGCTCGCGGCACTGTTCTACTCCGACAAAAGCGGGCTGGGTGAACGGCACGCAAAAAAGTCGGGGAGCTGCGACGAAAACAGCGGTGCAGTCTACGGTTTCCTCCTGACCCGAGCGTCTACTCGGATTGACGGCGCAGCGGCGATGTTGGGACCCGGTACCAGTGAAGCTACGTGGCGTGATAGGCGCGGTGGGCTGCAAAGCGGTTGGGTGCTAGCTTTTTAAATAAAACTGCCCCGACTCCGATAGCATTTGCGCATTCACCATAGCCGAAATATCGCGCGGGGAACTTCAACCTTATACTTCAACCGGCAGACGCGGGCGCTGGGTGAACGGCGAATTCGCGATATTGTTGGGGAGTCGAAAACACCCAAAAAAAAGGAGGAGCTTCAAACTATACTTCAACCGGCAGACGCGGACGCTGGGTGAACGGCGGTTTTGCGATATTGTCGGGGAGTCGAAAACTAAAAAAAAATGGGAGCAGTCGAAGTTTCAAGACTTACCTGCCGACGACGCGCGATGGGTGGCACATCTGCAAAGCGCCGGTGGGAGAAACGTGATAATTTGTTAAGTAACATCGGCAGGGGCAGTTTCGACAATGGGATTGACGGCGTTGAGGCGCGCTAGGCTCCGTGAACGACGGTCTCGGAATAACCCAGGGCAAGTCCCCGGTTCCCGATTATACCCGCATGCTGGGTTCGGGTGAACTGACGGAAACTACTGGTGACCGAGTGGGCGGCTATAGTACGACCGAAGATTTCGGAGGAGAACTGCACCTACAACTGCGAATTTTCGGGGCTGTGTTCGATCGACATTTTCGGAGTTTTACGCGGGACTTACCATGTCTTCCGGCGAGAAGCGCCGACAATTTCGGAGGAGTTTTCAGAGTTTTGGTTAAACACGCGCGAACTTTACGTGGGACAACACTGCGGGACCTACTCGGAGTTTCAAGGGGTACGAACAACTTACGACGAACTGAAGAAGGCGGCAGCAACAGTGAAGGGGGGGGAGAGACAGCTGCAATTTTTTCATCTCTGCCCAAGGGCCCTCTGCGAATTACGACAAACTTCTCGGTGAGTCTGGACAAACCCGCCGGAGGAGCTGACGTCATTTGACTCGGATAAAGCGTTCGACATTTTCGACCGGAGGAAATTTCGATTTGGTTACGTCTGCATCGACCGTCGCCGACTCTCGTATTCGACTTCGCCGCCAATAGAATTCATCGCCGACATTCTCGTAACACTCCCGATTTTACGGCCAGAGGATTTCGGGATACAACCGCTCCACCTCTCCTAGCGACAAACCAACCCACTCGACCCGCCCACGACAACCGATTCGATTCTGCCTACGTCAGGTGCTGCCAACTGCAACTGCTGAAGATACTGCAGGATTCTGGCACGTAAAGACAGAAAAATTCAGTTCGAGCAACGCATAATTTCCGTCGCGGTTTCCGGACTACAAAAGCTGGTTTACCCTTGGAAAAAAATTGGGGCACTTAATACCTGGTGTCGTCACCGATTTTCCACACCGAAGCGTTCCCACCCTGCTTTCTACGCTCAACGCTCGTTTTATTGTGACTTAACGCTTGGGTCTGTTTGTTTTCTCACCTCGGCGCAGCTGTGAAAGTTTTGTTGACAGTTTTCCGAGGAGGGGGGAGAAAGTGCACTGCACTGTTTTCCTTCGGCGTTTTCTTCGGCACGATTTCTGACCTTGTCAGAATGCGTCAGCACGACGTACGACTGCGATTGCCTTCAGCGAAATCGATGGTTCCTGTCCATCGCGACTGATCACCGCGTCAGCAGGTCCCCCCTAAGTTCGCGTCATCGTCGACCGTCAGATCGAGTTCAAACTGCATCAACGGCTCCAATTCCAACTTTCAGTTCGTTTTCGTCAGAGCTTTTCGCGTCCGTCAGATCGAAATCTGATTTCACCTACGGCCCAGATTCCAACCTCCAATTCAATTTGGGCCAGGCTATCTGCAGCCGTCAG